AATTGATGAACTCAAGTTAACAAAACGATCAGGGTTAATGTTTGTGTTAATGGTCCACTTCGACTCGAAAGTATGATCTTGAAAGCACTGTACAAAGGGCTCGGCTCGATAGGGAGAACGATGCCTATCAAAAACTTTGGAATCAAATAAAAACAACCTTATATGTACGGAAGATAGTACAACTTTTACTTGATTTACGATGACATGATGACGATTTACTTTGCGATGACTTTAATTTTCAACTTACCAAAATTATGGGTACGATTGACAAGACTTTTACTTTTACTTCTACTACTTATAAAAGAGATTCTTGATACAAATATGAAATATTTTTGCTCTTATTTTTTGTAAAAGAGATTTTGAAGGAACCTAATTTCGCCCATGTTTGAAGCCCATTAAAAAGATTTTTTTTTTTTTTTGAAATATGAGTTTTGAAATATTAATTTTTTTTTTTGAAGAATGCGTAATTAAAAAGTTGGAAATTTTTTTGATTTACGTGCAAAATATTCGTTAAAATGTGTAGTCGAAAATGAGTTTTTTTTTTAAATGAGTTTTTTTGAGAATGGTGAATAAACGAGGGCTTAATTTTAATTTGAAAACTAATTCTAAAAAGAGTTCTATATTCCGAAAGTGCTTTTTAGAGGAAGTCATGTTGAACCAACTTTATCTAAAAGCTCTTCTAATTAAAAGATACAAAAATTAGAATCTATTTCATATAACTGTTGTTTCTTATAGGAGTTTTAATAGAATTTTTATTTTTATTTGATAACTAATTTTTAAAAGCATTATATATCCGAAAGTGTTTTCATAGGAAGTTACATTTGACCAACTTTCTCTAGAAGTTCTTTTAACTATCAGAAACCCTTTTATAAAAGTAGCTAAATGAATCCAAAAGTAACTTTTAGATTTCAAAAGCTCTGTTTGATTTTTCAAAAAGGCTTATTGGCACAAAACGTCCATACGTTTAACAGTTATTATGCAAAAAGTCATTATGTTTCATTTTTTTTGCTTTTTCGTCATTATTTTAAAGTTTCTTTGCGGAAAACGTCAGTTTCATTGTTTTTCA